AGGAGCAGCACTCACCCTTTGCCAGCTGCACGAAGCCCAGGATGATGATGAGAGCCAGCGCCAGCAGCTTGGCAGCAGCGAAGGCGTCCTGCACACGGGTGGCAGCCTTGACACTGTAGCAGTTCACAGCTGTCAGCAGCACTGAGGGGACACAAGGGACAAGGTCAGCACCCAGGGAGACACACCAAAAATCACAAGGAATCTTAGGTGGGATACATGGAAGGAATTCCTCCCTGTGAAGGTGGGGAGGCCCTGGGTGCCCAGAGAAGCTGTGGTGGCCCCTGGATCCCTGGCAGTGCCCAAGGCCAGCTTGGATGGGACCTGGAGCAGCCTGGGATGGTGTCCCTGCCATGGCAGGGGCTGGATAAGATGTTCTCCAAGGTCCTTCCAACCCAAACCATTCAATGATTCCCTTTAGCTAAAACAACCAACCAGAGCCTCTTCCCAAAAGAGAAATTCACTGAGAGCTCTGCAGCCTCACACTTCTCAGTGGCACCTTTATGTTGGCAGTAAGTGCTCTGAATAATGCCTGTGGTCCTTGGGACATGTGTCACTTTAGTTTTTTAAGATTTTCTAAGCCTTCTGATGTTGACATTCCTAGAGTGAATTTTCTCACACACTTTCTGTAAATAACTCATTGTTTTACATTCCTTTATGGAGGAAGAAAGAGTTGATAGACTGTTAGTTTGACCAGTGACATTGCAGAGGTGTCAATGCCACCTTCCAATCCACTGTCACGTTTGTAAAGCTATAAATATTGGAGTCAGAGAATAAAACTTCCCTTTTTTCCCTTCACCTTGAGTAGTAGTGTGCTTGTGTTTTCTCGTGTCCCTCAGCAACAGACATGGAATGGGATTGCTCCATTGGAAAACACTCCTGAGGGCTCAGTATCTGTTTGCTGAGAAGCTCCTGCTGCCCACAAGTTGCCCCATGGTTAATGCAACTACTGGGGTTTACTTCCCATCTTTCTTTGCCACATTCCCCCCCAGCTCCTCTGCATCCCATCCTGCCAGTGGGACGTTCCTGCCAGGCAGGGCACAGCCTGGACCAGGCCTTGATCAAAGCCTCTGCTCCTGGCTGAGCTTCACCTGCTGCAGAGCAAATCATGGCAAAGCCCTGCTGCCCTCACAAATCACTGACTATTTTGGTGCCCCGCTCCCTCCCCAGAGCCCGCTGCTTGTTACGGACACAGCAGATGTCACACTGAGGGTGGCAGTGCCCCCGTGCTTGCTGCCCTCCCTCCAGCCCAGTGACCCCTCACTGTCCCCTGGCCAGCCCCAGCCTGAGCAGCTCAGGGAGGAGCAGATCCGATCCCAAACCTCCTCCTGGAGCTGGAGGCTTTTCCCTGCAGGATCCTTTCCCAGCTCCCTCTGCCCCTGTGCAAAAGCTCCTTCCCAGAGCCTGCAGCTTCTCTTCACAGCAGCTCCTGATCAGAGCCAAGCAGCTGCTCCCTAAAGCATCCCAGTTCCTTCCCTGAGGGTGTGAGCTGGAGCTGGAGCCCACCTCAGAGCCCAGAGCTGATCCCAGAGGGGGTGGGCTTGGAAGGATCTCACAGATCCAGTCCCACCCCTGCCAAGGGCAGGGACACCTGCCACCATCCCAGGGTGCTCCAAGCTCCATTCAGGCTGGCCTTGGGCACTGCCAGGGGCAGCCCGTGCCAGTGTCCCAGGATCCAGGGGCAGCCTGTGCCAGTGTCCCAGGATCCAGGGATAGCCTGTGCCAGTGTCCCAGGATCCAGGGGCAGCCCGTGCCAGTGTCCCAGGATCCAGGGCAGCCTGTGCCAGTGTCCCAGGATCCAGGGATAGCCTGTGCCAGTGTCCCAGGATCCAGGGGCAGCCCGTGCCAGTGTCCCAGGATCCAGGGATAGCCTGTGCCCGTGTCCCAGGATCCAGGGGCAGCCTGTGCCAGTGTCCCAGGATCCACGGATAGCCTGTGCCAGTGTCCCAGGATCCAGGGGCAGCCTGTGCCAATGTCCCAGGATCCAGGGATAGCCTGTGCCAGTGTCCCAGGATCCAGGGATAGCCCGTGCCAGTGTCCCAGGATCCAGGGATAGCCCGTGCCAGTGTCCCAGGATCCAGGGGCAGCCTGTGCCAGTGTCCCAGGATCCAGGGATAGCCTGTGCCAGTGTCCCAGGATCCAGGGACAGCCTGTGCCAATGTCCCAGCATCCAGGGATAGCCTGTGCCAGTGTCCCAGGATCCAGGGGCAGCCTGTGCCAGTGTCCCAGGATCCACGGATAGCCTGTGCCCGTGTCCCAGGATCCAGGGGCAGCCTGTGCCCGTGTCCCAGGATCCAGGGACAGCCTGTGCCAGTGTCCCAGGATCCAGAGATAGCCTGTGCCAGTGTCCCAGGATCCAGGGGCAGCCTGTGCCCGTGTCCCAGGATCCAGGGGCAGCCTGTGCCAATGTCCCAGGATCCAGGGATAGCCTGTGCCCGTGTCCCAGGATCCAGGGATAGCCTGTGCCCGTGTCCCAGGATCCAGGGATAGCCTGTGCCAGTGTCCCAGGATCCAGGGCAGCCTGTGCCAATGTCCCAGGATCCAGGGCAGCCTGTGCCAGTGTCCCACGATCCAGGGACAGCCTGTGCCAGTGTCCCAAGATCCAGGGGCAGCCTGTGCCAATGATCCAGTGATTCCAGGGATAGCCTGTGCCAGTGTCCCAGGATCCAGGGGCAGCCTGTGCCAGTGTCCCAGGATCCAGGGGCAGCCTGTGCCAATGATCCAGTGATTCCAGGACCCAGGGGCAGCCTGTGCCAGTGATCCAGTGATTCCAGGATCCAGTGCTTCCAGGATCACTGGCTCCTTCCCCCACCCTGCCATCTCCAGGATCTGCTGCCATTCCAGCACAGGAGCAGCTCAAGTGTAGAGAAGTGAGAGCTGTGTGTGTCAGGAAGGAAAGCACAGGACCCAGCCCATCCCACAGGGGTGACAGCCAGCAGCCCACAGGGACTGGAGATGGATTTAGTGCCGTGCCCTTGGAGCCCCTGTGGGAGTGTGGCTGAGCCTGAAATGACCCTGAGCTGTTTCTGGGGAAGCAGAGCCACACTGGGGACACGGGACAGCACGAGCTGGGCTCTGGCCAGGAGCAGGGGTGTGTGACTGTGGTGACAGATGTGCCACACCACTGTCCCTGTGCCAGGCCCCCCCAGGAGACACGGGACAGGGACAGGTCTGGACAGTTCCCAGCCCTGGAGCAGCCCCGTCCTGTGGGGTCACAGCTCTGTCCCCACAGAGGGACACTGGGACACGTCTGCCTCTGGGGACAGGGCAAAGGGACACGGTCAGCCAGCAGCAAGGAGGAAACACAGCTTAACCAAGTGACCTTAGAGTGCTACAGGGGAAAGGAACCACAGGGAATTCTCCCAGCAAAACTCCCAAGCCAGGCAGTGAAAGCACCTCCAGTGAGTGCTCAGGGCAGCAGGCTCTGGAGCAGGATTCCCTTTGACCAGCGATTATGCTAAAAATAAATCTGCCCTTGTTTACAGAGGGATATTTAGAGGATGAGCTCAGCCATCCAGGACCACACTGCTGCTGTCGTGGTGAGGACAGCCCTGAGAGGTGTGACAGTGACATTCCCTGCCCCATTTAGGCATTCTGGGACTGTGACAATAAATGCTTCACCCCCACTTCAACACTGATTTTTAGGGGCTGTTTTCCCTGCTCTGGCTCTGTACAGAGTCCCCTGGAGGGTGGTGGTGAAAATGAAAAGCAAAAGTTTCCTACAGAGTCCAAGTGTGTGTTCAGCCCCAAAGCCCCATCAGTGCAGATAAACAGACTCCCTAAAAAAAGAGAAAACACTTTGGGATCAGAGAGTAAACAGGGCTGGAAGTTTCTGCCGTGGTCATCAGCCCTCCCAGTCACATTTCCTCAGCTTTGCTTTTCCTCCTTTACAATAACATTTGCCTTTCCTAAAGGAGCACAGTAGAATTTCTCCACTGAATCCCCCAGTCTCGCCCATCAGGAAGAATCCTACAGAAAACAAACAGGATGAAAGCTTTTCCCTAAAACTCCAGAACAAATTCCAGCGGCTGCTGAGCTTCTAAAGAGGCTGAGATTTCTTAGAGCAGCAAGTTTGATAGCTTCGATCCCAGACGCTGCCCTGGCAGGCAGGGGCTGTGGGATCCTCCTGGCAGCGCTCCCTCACCTCGGCTGAATCACTCCAGGAAAAACACAGCAAAGCTGCACCACAAACCAGGGCACTGACACAGAGACAGGCTGTGCTGCCCTAATTCCTGCAGTGTTTTCCTAAGGCTCCAGCCCCTGTCAGCCAGCAGAGCTCTGCAGTGACCCATCAGGGCTGTGCTCAGGAATCATTCGAGGAACGAGGGTTTCAGCTGACCTGACGTGCCACGGCCTGGCTGAGCCAGCAGCCCCTCTCCAAAGCTTTACATAATTGGGATAATAAGTGTTAGAAAGCTGGAGGGATGGCAGATGGACAGGGGGTGACTTTTCAGAGAATCCCACACTGGTTTGGGTTGGAAGGAACATTAGAGCTCCTCTTGTTTCAATCACTGGGCAGGGACAATTTCCACTATCCCAGGTTGCTCCAAGTCCATTCCAGCCTGGCCTTGGGCACTGCCAGGATCCAGGGGCAGCCACAGCTGCTCTGGGCACCTGTGCCAGGGCCTCCCCACCCTCACAACAACAGAAGTTTCCCCTACACCTAATCTAGCTCAGGTGATTAATTACTCATGACTCTGGCAGGAGAGATCCTGGGTTCTGCTCTCCAGGTGTTTTCATCCCTTCACCCCCAGGGACTGCTCCAGCCCAGCCTCATTCCAAGGCAACTCAAACCACAGAGGAAAAACTGAGTTTCTAAATACACCAGCAGGTCTGGCTTCAGTATTTCCTCTGTCCTGCAGCCCCTGCTGGCTTCAGGCATCTCACTGAACCTGCTCCACTGGCACTCACCTGCACAGCCAGGGAATTCCCCACTCTGATAGGAACAAGGACAAACTGATTAATGTGACACCAGACAGGACTTTACCCACAATTCCCATTTTATGGCTGCATGCCTCTGAAGTGGCCTCCCAAGCTCTCTCCCAGACACAACTCCTAGAGGACAACAGGAAAAACTGCAGACAAATAAACGGATCAATCCCTCCTAGAACACAGCCGTGGAACAGCTCCTGTGTTCAGGGAAA